GACCAAGCTTTTTCAAACACGAAACGAAACGTTGCGTTGTGTTGCTAATGACTTTCGCCGAGTTTTTGTCAACAGGCATTCGTACCACAATATAATCGTTGACGACCATGTTCGAACGAACAAAAACCAATTAGGAATGCGAAATGGCAAGATTTTCATGTTAAATACTTAAATAATTATTTGAAGTTAATAATATTTATAATTAACACTAGAGTTGATTTCTGATATGTAAGTTTCGGTATGTGAAATTATCTTTCTGTCTCATCTACTAAACATTTGCATGTCTTTAGTAATTGCAAAAACAGGAAATGTGATAAATATGATAAATAGAAGTAGAAATATAAGAGTAATATAAAATAAGAAGACGATAAATAATTACCTTCCAACCAATAGTGGGTAGTATCGTGTAAAAATAATCATCCAATAAGGGATCCATCGTCACAGTTAAACCGTTCTGTATACCTATGTCTCCGACATAATACAATTTAAATTCCTCCTGCTTAAAAAACCTATTACAAATAGAATTAAAGAATGTCGAAGGATTATCAATATTATAATACTGGAAAAAAAGTTATGGAAGACTTACTTAGGAGCATCACCAAAACTCTCGGCAATGTAATTAAAAATGCAACAGAATCCATTTTTCGTTTTTCCGACGCTGAATATATCAGAGCAATTCATTCTCTGATTGCGAAAATAACAGTTGAGTAACATAGACGAACACTGTGGTGTTAGCTGAAATTTCTTTTGCTTTATTAACTCTATAAAACTAGATTTTTTATGATCCAATAAATGAATTACGTATTACCACAGAACATACATATATGTATGTATAATTACTGCTACTCACGCGTTCCATTATGTCGGTGATATCGTAATTATTCCCGTAAAACTTGGACATCAGCTGAATAATCTGAGTGTAATCACCAGCAGTGGTAAATGGCGAATCGTACAAATCACCGACCTTCCGTATTTCGTGAAGAATTTCATTCACGGTCAAATTACTGATTTTCGCTTCATACCTGACACTCCAACGAATGCAAATTAAAATCCTTTCAATTGATAAAATTTTGGTTAAAATGTAACATTTATTGGCGATTGAACACAAAACGCAAGCATATCAACGAGAACGATAATCGAGCAGCATAATTCATTCTCAAGCGAATGATTCGAACTATTTGCGCCATTAGTATCCTTTGGTTGCCCGTAAAACTTAGCAAACTATTCCTCCCGGGGTGGATTGGATTTGGTGCATATTAATACTTGATTAAATTGGCGAAAGTTAATCGGACGCAAATTAGCGTTCATTAAATCGGCTGGCGCAAATCGATAACTATGTTAGAGCCGCTAGCCGGCATAGCCCGACAATGAACACGTTCACGGTGATTATCACAGTGATTAGGTGGCGGCGGCTGACTGCCGGTGCTTCACGGTTCTTCAACGAGGTCACGCTTTTCGAGTGCAGTTATTGAAATTATCCGTGCCGGTGCAATTTTCTGCAGTGCGGCGAAACGACGTGCTATAACCCTCCACCAACTTATCCTCCTACCAACCCCCTTTCTCATTCTGCTCCACCCTCTTTCTATTAAACCCCGTGGTTGCTACGCATTAAAAGCCACGATGCTTGCTCACACTCACTCCTCGCGAGAACACCGGTGTTTATTTAATACTCAACAGATCCTCACATTTCAGCCGCGAGTTTCGTGGCGGATTGAAGACTTATTCTGTTAATGGTGCAAACAGAGACGGCTAGAAAGACAGTAATCAGAGCTGGTGAAAAGGTTAGGTTTTCGTGTCGTGATTTCGTCCATAAAATTTAAAGGCTGCTCCCACACTATCCGTTCAAATCGCTTAATTAAAACGAGATCGCTGAGGGCTCCGGTTTTTAATCGAATTCAGACGTTCAGGTAGTAAAAGAATGAAATTGGACGATGATTTTCTTGTTTTCTCTGTTCTTGTTTTTTTTTTAACGATGTAGTAGCTCGTTTGCGCATAGCTTATCGATTTTCTGCTTCGAATTTTCATTATATGTATTTTAACTTACCGGGGAATTTTATTTCATTAGTTGGAAAATACTCCGACTCTAACGTGGCTGTTACTGGGATATCTTTGTACGCCTGATAAATATTGACCATCTGGAGAAAGCCGCAAATTATGGAGATTATGTATACGAGAAGCCATAGGAACCTAAAAATATTCCAAATATTTAAATACTTATATAGTCGTTCTTCTCTCGTACAATGTATTGGTTACACAGATTTTTACTTTTTAAATCAAATTTTCCATAAAATATAAAGTCTCATTATAGGAAAGGTAATAGCTAACTGACGAATGAAAAGACTCTCGAGTTCGCTTTTTTAATGAACATGATACGCGTTTGATTGCCATTAAACACCCTTGATGCTACGTGAACTCCTATAAAAAATAACACTTCAAGCGCTCGTAAAACGACGGTTCACTGCTTTTTTCATAGAAAATGAGAATCTCGTTTATTACCGAATTCGTTTTATAAAAGTCGCGCACTATACGTAACTTTATCTTTAATTATTCACCCTCCATAGCGTATCATTTTCCCTAGTGGAACACTAAAATTCCATTGTTATCTTCCTTATTTCTTCGTTCATTTTTTTAGTCTCAGCTTTCCCGACTTTAATCCCTCGTAAAATCTTTTAAAATAACACATCGAACTACAAGATCTTCCTGTACCCAAGATTTTATGGGATTTATGGCTATATGCCTTGAATGTTGCCAAAGGAAAACATTTTTCCTTAACACAGATATTCGCGAAATTTTCTTCATGAAAATATTCAAAGTATAGTATTCTTTCTAGCATTTGACGCATAAATACAAATTTGCATATATCCATATACCATTTTTAGATATTCTTTTGTTCACCACTGTATAGTATATAAAAATACATCGAAATGTAATATTAATATTTACTGTAACTAAAACAAAAATCTCTCTTCTTAGTTTCGACTTCTCTACTTTATGTTAATAAAACTTATAGAACTATTAATCTTTATAAACATCTGTATTCTAATGAACGTATGTGGATTAAATTTTACTAAGATCCTTGTGCTTCACAATAAATTCACTACAATGGTAAAATTAACCAACCAGGTTCAATATCGTAATCTTGTAAGTAAAAAGGCATCTGCATTTTTTCTTTATGATTACATTGCCCTGTTACGCGATACACTGGATACGCTATTTAGAGCAACGAAGCGATCAAGTATCCTAGGAAGTTGTGCTTGGTGCATCGAAGAATATACTGAATATAGAATGAAGATAATATCGTTTATTTAACAGGAAGCATTTCGGCGAACGATGAAATTAGTCGAACAGATAATCGTTTGCTTACTCAAAACGCAACGTATTTTGCCGTGCATATGAAACGGAATAATTTCGTAATGCGATTATACGCGATTACCTGAAACACTGGGAATATCCATATTCCATGAATTTCACTTACTTCTCCAACCAGGTTACTTCATCTTTCAAAAAATACTTCAGACCCACTAAAGTTGTGTGCTTGCAGTATAACCGCCAATATTTCGTGAATACTCCGCTGTAATTCAATACGACGATGTGTTTGCTTCGATTTGATATTGGACGTTCGTAAGGAACGTTGAACTTTCTTCTATCTTCTTCGTTCATGGTACTCGTATCGTCGTATCGTTGATCCACAAAATTGTGAAGTACGATTCAAGCGAAAATAAACGAAAACACGAAAAAATAATGAATCTTGTTCAACGATACTCAACGTAAACTCTTGTTATCCTAGAAAAATTGTAGTTAGTTATTAATCAATTTATTACTTGTAGAGAATCGAACGTGGAAGAAATGTGATGCGTAGAACCAGAGTTCTCGTTGCAACGCGGATAGAATAAAATAAGCGTGGATGGAAAAAATTCGGATTTATATTGGTGAATACGATCCTTGACTAAGATGTGCGTATGTTCGGACAAAAATGGAAGAAAATAAACATAGGCGAATAAAACGATTTAGATCTAGTTGCGGTCGATTTGAATTGTACACGGTGGAAATTGGCGATATCGATCGAGTAAATTCTTAATTAAGTCTATGGTTCAACTTTTTTACCTAGCCAAACCAGTTGTTTTTGTTTAAATATTGCAAGAAAAAGGAAAGAATGAAAAATATATTAAACAAAAGTAAAGCGAGATATGGCGATAAAATATTTCTGAAACACGTTTATGTATACCGATAGATGAAGTGTGCATAACGAAAGTTTCAGCCGCAGTTATACTTCAAACGAATATATTGGGTGGTTGTGCGATGTTCCATTGGCAGAATTTCCATCGACGACTGGGCGCCACGTTGTTCCTCGATTAGAATCGTAAAACACTAGCGGCCTCGTTTCGCGTGTTGCACGTGTCGCATGGGTGACGGAACGATTCCACTTCGAAAAGATCGCATATCTTAAACCATTTAATTACTGATACGCTTCGCTTATCTCATGCACGGCCAGTCGCCCGTTACCACTGGAAAGTTACGGACCGTGCTTGCACATCGTGCTTCGTAACATATCTATTGTCCTAACGTTACGCTCTTTCGCACATTCTCATTAAACGTGTCTTTGGTTTCTAAGTTGTATAAGATCGCTCCTGAATTTATCTACATCTTTCTCCTCTTATACATCGCTTATTGTATCATTCTTTAAATGGCAAATATCTTTTAAGATGGACATTTAAATACCAAAAATCTTCTCATTTTTTATAGATGAACATTTAAATACCAAAAATCTGTTTATCCTTCTAAACACCAAAAATATTGATATTCTTTTAAGATGAACAATTGCGAAAGAAAATCTATTAAGGATAGACGCATGCTCCATATTATTTTTCCTCGGAAAGATCCTTATTTTAAGTATTGGGTTGTGACATATGAAATATGCACATTTTTTATATCAATCTTTAAATCTTCTTTCCAGTACCTTTATCTTTATAGATTTATCATTGTATACTATTTTAAAGTTGAACATTTTTTTCTATAACGTATGATTTAGTGATATATCAATTGATAAAAGCGTCATGTGTTCACCTAATAACAATGATTATTTTGATATTATATTTTCATGTTATATCGTTCCACTCGATTAGCTTCTAACAATTGTGCCAGCCAATGGAAGAAATGGTAAATCAATGCTCAACAAGTGAGTCTAACAAGTAACTGGAATCTGCCCTTTCGACAAGCTGTCCTTGAATTTGCCCTGTAACTAGTTATTAAGGTCATAAAACTTCGGAACTTCATCAGGTGTCAGGTTCGTGACTGGAATGATCCAGCAAGGTGGGTGGCAGTTTAGTCGCTAATCCAGCCTCGACTATCTCACGCTCTATCGTTTCAAGCGTGTCACAAGCCGCCTGATGTTGCGTACGTGTGCCGTTATGAAAATGCGTGGTTCGCCGGTCTACGCTCGTGAATATATTATAAGGAGGATGTACGTGTAACCGTGGGTTGCAATCTTGCAATCCTGACACGGGCTCAAAGAACGAGTTAGCTGTACGTAAAGTAGATCAAGTTTACACGACGTTAATCGAATCACTATACTCGACCGTCTTCCTCTCAGTCGCCCTAAATCTTTCCCTCGTCCCTTAGTATTGTCGATACGAGAACGTCTGTAGACAGGATGTGTCTCACCCTACCTCTGTAGAATTATTCCTCCGTGTTTCCTCGTGGAAACGTTTCGTGAATCTCTGCTGAAGTTCGCACGAGGATTCCGCCGAGGAACCATCTTGAGTTGAGAAATTTATTCGCAATTGTTTGCCGAGGTATTACCCGCCGTTTGAGTAACTTGCTTTCGTTTACTCGGTGTTTCATTTGGGTTTAGTATGGCTGTTTTATTGCGTAATTTAATTGCGCTGATATTCGATTAGGAGAGACGATTCTGTTGCGTTTTACTGCCCGGAGTCTGACTAATGGTTTACTTATACTATTTTATCGCCTATAGGATAATAAAATTTACTTAAAAGGAAGGCTGTTTATATAATTTAGTAGCATAATAACATGTAAATGCAGCTTAGAAATAAGAATAATATATGAAATTTATTTTATTTACGTCGTAGTTCATTCGTATTTCAGTTATGATTATGAAGAATTGATACAAATCAAAGAATTTATTAAACTCTGCATTTTCCCTTTTTATTAGGTTTATTAAGTTCTTTTCGTTTTTTAAATAGGAGGCGAGTATAAAATATATTTCCTTCTCGGTACTTTTCTTAAAATAATGTATGATCCTTTCCCTTCTACCACCTTTTGCCATCTCTCCGGGAGCCTCATAATGCCATTTTTCCAAAATTCTCTTGGCTTACTTTTAAAATATTCTTCGAGCCCGTTTTCCATTTCGTTTACTGATTTGAATTTTCTATTGCGAAGAAAGGAACAAATAATAGTCCAATGGAGCAAGGTCTGGAGAGTATGGAGGATGTGGTAAAACACCCCAATCAAACTCTAGAAGTTTCATTCGCACCGCTAAAGAAACATGTGGCCTCGCGTTATCGTGGTGGAACACCACGCCACGTTTGTTCACCACTTCAGGACGTTTTGTGATAATGACTTCCTCAAGTTTTTCAAGTTGGGTGCAATATTTTTCACTGTTGATCGTTTGCCCTTCCGAAAGTAATTCGTAGTAGAGGATACCCTTCCAGTCCCACCAAATTGAAAGCAGCACCTTCTTCGGGTGAAGTCCAGGTCTTGCTACCGTTAGAGGACACTTATCTCAACTCGACCAAGACTTTCATCCCCAGTAATTAACTTTTTTAAAAATGGCTCTCTTTTGTTGCGTTGAATTAGCAAATCGCATGTCAAGATTCGATTCAGGAGATTGCTCTCCGTCAGTTGATGGGCGACCCACACTTCGTAACGATTAACGTACCCAAGCTTTGTCAAATGTTCATGAATCGTTGTTCGCGGGATGTTTAAAACATCTGCTATCTCACGAAAACTAGACCTTGGGTTTTCATCGAGGTAGGCCTTGATAAGGTCAGTATCGGTGGTGGATGGACGACCGCTGCGATCTTCGTCTTTCAGATTAAAATTTCCGGCTCTAAAGCTCCTAAAGCAATTCCGAACTGTTTGAACAGTTATAGACCGATCGCCATAAACGTCACAAATCTCCTTTGCAGTGTTTTTAAGCGTACTATCTTTTTTAAAGCAGTGAAACATAACGTGGCGAAAATGTATCTTTTGGTCTTCCATCTTTCACCACGCAAAAAACACTCGATACATTTTCTACTAACGTGGAGAACTGTTTTCTTGCCTTACCAGAGGATAACTCGTGGCCACACGATTGACGGTAGAGTGATTTGGTGGTTTGTTTACTTAAGCAGAACGATATAAGGCCCCGAGCGGCGAACGCAAAAAGCTTTCCGGATGACCTAATGTTTACGTTTCCTTACGTTACCCTATGTTTACGTTTCTGGTTTATTCGCTTATTCCATTTGTTTCCGTTTGGTATCTAACTAGTGATATACTTATATTACGTGAAAATGATGTATTGCGGTATACCATTGATTAATAGACCCACTAATTCTATCAATACGCATATAAAATTGAAACCTAGAATATGTAATCAATCGATGCGCATTTTATACTCAGTAGCACGAATCAAAGCAAAGCTCGTTTCAATAATTAATAATGCTTTGTTTTCTGTAACTGCGTTGCCTAGGTTTCGTGGCCTCACATTAGATCCGTGAGAGGCGATAATTCATAGAGCATGGAACTGCGTATTTCCACGATGAACATTTGTGGTATCGTATTGCCTTTGTGAGATTCAATGTAACTGTACGTAGTTATCATTGTTGCTGCGCCTATGAAGCAATCACGACCCTTCGTGTATCCTCAGCGCTCCATCTCTTCGCTTGTTCATATTGTTTAGTTGGAAAATTCATTATAGAACTAATTACACACGATATACGGTCGGTGAACAAAGATTGCAAAGCGGAAATAGGCAACGATTTAATTTATCCGTTCCTCATTCGCAATGAAACTGTAAGTATGCTACAGGCAGAATGTTTCATATCACTGCGTGCTCCATTAAAACTCATAGAAATTAAAAAGAATATTAATTTAGAATGCTAAGGTCTTTTTGATAAAAAATGAAGATGATAAAGAAAACAATACAAAATTTATTTTGATAGTGGGGAATAGTAACCAATAAGAACTCCAGAATTTATTACATTGCTAAGTGGTTGATTAATTCATAATTTTATTTTATATTTTAATAACAATTTTCTAGGAAATGTACATTTTTGAATTGTGTCACTACTATAGCGAACCACAGGATTAAGAAAAGATCAGCTTAAAATTTTGTTATCTTAAAAAACTATCGTAAAAGATTTGTCCGAAGTAAGGCATATTAATATTAATATTTAGTAGATTAATTCCAAATTAATAGTAAAATTGGAAAATTTAGATTCCAAATTCAATTTACATAGATACAGTTGAAAAAACGATACTAAACTTTTTGGCCAATCGTGCGTCTTTATTTATTCGATTGCTATCGTTCAGAAATACGTTTTCAAAAAAGATATCGGAAGATTTTTAGATCATTGAATGATCAGGGAAATAATGTTAATTCGTGCAATCGACTATGAAAAAGAAACGGAATATAATCGACTCTTTTGCTGCCTGAAACGAAAACGTAACCGCGAGACGGATGCTTTTTGAACGGGTACGATCTTTTTCTTCTTTTTGGATATGCTACGGACGCCGTTATAAAAATTCACCTGGCTGCCTACGAACGAATTTAATGACGATAGGCGGTTTGTGTAATGCCTAAAATTGAATGCAAAACCGCGACACCAGATCGGTTCGGTAAAACCGTCGGTTCCTATGTGTAAACCGATGTAACGATAAAATCTCTGAACAAACAACTATGAGACATCAATTTCTGCTTTGTTTCTAAATAACAGCCCGTGGCGCAACGATTAACCCTTTGCACTCGGAATTTTATTTCAATTTCGTTAGCAGCAGCTCGCAACGCTTTTAAGTGTTTTATTTGAAATTTACTTTAACTAAAAAATAAGACAGTTTAAATAAATAAAGGAAGGAAGAAATTCACTTATATAGCAGTTTTATTCACACTATTGTTGTATTTTGTAATTTTTAAACGTATGATATATCTTGAAACAATTTCCAGGATTCAATCCTGCTTTTCTTTCGCACGTCTCACAAAAAAAGGTGGAACTGAAAGAATGTCGAGTGGGACTCGACAAAGGAGCTTCTGAGATAAAAGCTGATGTCGAGTCACACTTGACATAGGAGTGCAAAGGGTTATTGTTCGACCAATCTGTTACGAACTGGAACATTTCGTGGCGTTCTCCAATGTAAATGGTGTAAATCGCGAAAGGATAATCTGACATGAAACTGAGTTTATTCTCTGGGGAATTGTAATGACTGACGTCTTTTCTGAAAGCTCGTAATGGTGCATTACTGAAACAGGATAATCGAGTAACAGATGAGAACCGAGTGGTTATTCAGGAAAGTAAAACATAATTATTCGAGAAAGAGATTGGTTAGAACCATGAAAACGTTCAGATGTTTCCTTTCACGACGGTTTCTTGAAAGGAAATCTATTATGATAGTGGAGCAACAATTAAGGGATATCAATATCTATTTCCACAAAGGAGCAACCAGGCTTTTGGAACGCCGGCAATAATTCACTCGGCTGGATCGCTTATTCACGCTGAATTTCATCTTCGTCTGTGCTGGCCGATGCAAGTCGATCATCTCGAAACCTCAAGCACATTCGAATGATCGAGTTTCATAACGACGACTCGAATAAAGCTACTTGCAATAGTACAAATGACAGCATCCAACGTGTGTATAGTTCGAAATTTTAACCTGTGAAATATATTATTGTACAGGCTTTCATTGCAATCGAACACGATTAATTTGCGTTTTTTTAACGCGAACAAAGAATGGTCTTGATACGGCAAAATTGGTTATTTAATTATTAAATTATTTAATTGTTTATAAATTATTATTGTGTTATTTCTATTTTGAAATATGTTTCTGATTATTTCATTTTATATTTAATGAGGAATATCTTGTCCATAATCCGATCTTGATCCCAATCCCGGTCTTAAAAATGTAATTTAATTCTTTCGATTATTATCCAATCCTCGAAAATGATTAATAGTAATGGTTGATACAAATTTAATTTCTTTAATTAAAGAGACAGCAGTAAAGTTGTTTACACGAAGTGCAGTATATTGAATAAAACATTGTTCCGATCCCATTCATTGTCGCAGACCATCCATCCACTTTTAACATTATCGACAAACAGTATTTTCACGTCATTTCGAATCATGGAATTATACCAATGGCGAATATCGTTGACGCTTGTTATAATAATAATATGCGCCAATCGTAAAAACATCAATTTTATGTTTCGATCGTTTTAGTAATTTTTCATGCAATTAATTGTATGATTTAAACATTAGGTATCATCAATAAACATGTATATGAGATATTCATATTAATATTTACCGAACCACGCTAGAAGCAAGGTATTGTGCTTGGCCTTAATGTATGTATGTGTATAGGTGCGTTTGTGCTACTGTAATTTGAAAACGGCTTAACCGATTCCAACCGTACAGATCTCAATCGATTCGTGCCCATCCCCGGAGTGTTGTACGTTATATATTGAAAGGATATTGAAAATATAAAATAACGGAAGATACAGAAGATAACTGGTAAAAAAGTTCATGTACCTAAATCGTTGAATTCAGTAAGAGAATGCTGTATCAGACAGCCATAGTATTTCTAGAGTTTAATCGTCATTGTGACAATTTTTAATCAGTGCGGGTAACCGACTGCGGTATTTTCAACCCTTTGAACTCGGAATTTTATTTCAATTTCGTTAGCAGCAGCTCGCAACGCTTTTAAGTGTTTTATTTGAAATTTATTCTAACTAAAAAATAAGACAATTTAAATAAATAAAGGAAGAAAGAAATTTACTTAAATAGCAGTTTTATTCACACTATTGTTGTATTTTGTAATTTTTGAGTGTATGATATATCTTGAAACAATTTCCAGGATGCAATCCTGGTTTTTTTTCGCACGTTTTACAAAAAAAAGGTGGGACTGAAAGAATGTCGAGTGGGACACGACAAAGCAGCTCCTGAGATAAAAACTGATGTCGAGTCACACTCGGCATAGGAGTGCAAAGGGTTAAAGGTTACTTATCTAAATTCGGTAACTGTATCAGTTAACTGCTTTAAAATATCCGAATGTGTAATTATCTCATATTTCTGAGTGAAACATACATATTGTCTTTCCTTTATTTTTTTAGTTTTGTACAGACGGGTATCATTTTTTACAAATATTAATTTTTTTATCTTATGCATTGAATATTCTATTTGATATACTTCTTCTCACTGACTGATAGTATCACGCGTCTATCGCAATCGATGATAATTAATTTGATCGAATTTCTTTCTCTTCCTTGCAACTCCAATACAATTAATAATGAGGAAACATTCGGAATTATATTGCACATATATTAATATTAGAAATGTATGTGCATATGCGTATATGTGACTGAAACCTATAGCGTATCTCTCATTCGTCTCTGCGCCACGCTTGATGAGATCAGCTTTAAGGCTTTAAACGAACCTGTAGCAAAGGCTCGTTAGAAAGCTTGCAAGCTTACAGCGCGCAGTATTCCCTTGTAGAGTGCTAGATTGCCCTTTGCTAAGTCCCGGGAGCAAGAAACCAGAAGAATCGCTAATTCCTCCAGGAAATATATGTCTTTATTTTAATTCTTCCCGAGGTTGAAGGTGGATATATGAAGTAGCTTATAGAATATTTTCTGTTTTCGATAGTGTTGAGGTTGACTGATAGAATTTGTAATAGAAAAATATCTTGAAATAAATAAAGGTATAAGTATAATATATAAGTTTATGCTGATCCAGATCCTCACTTTTAGCGTGTTACAATACAATAGAATCGATAGGGAACACGTTCATATATTTATTGATATTACCAAAAAAGTTAATCTTGTAGCTCTAGCTAAAGGCTACAAGAAACATAAATAGAAATCTATTTATTAGCTCCTTTGTTTCTAGACCTTGTAACCCAAAACATAATTTATATTCAGGGGCACAATAATATGGACCTCTTCTTATTTAGAATATTTTTGTTTCACTAAATTCTATTTTCTGCGTAACAGCGGTCTCCAAGCCACAGATATACAAAAATAAAGATGTAGAGTTTTTCTTGAAGTAATTACTTCAACAGATAGTATTCCATTTTTGGTGATTTTTAGATATGGTACTAAGGAATTGTTAAATTAATGCAAAGCTAAAGTACAAAGCTAATGCCAAAGAAATTAAAATGAATGAAATGCAAAAAAATACATAATGAAGGGGAGAAACAATATCTTTTTTTATCAATATTTTTCATCAAAAATCATTTAAATCCCCAAAATTGTACCGTTATTAATCTGTACAAATAAATTGTGGATTCTACTCTCTATCACACGCCACGTTGTTGGTTAATGAATAATGCCCACTAATAATTATTCATTTTCGTAGAAATTATTTTTTAACAATTGTCTGATTATTATAAAGTATTTATGAGACTACTGCTTTTCGTTTTAACTATTTCTGTGGCCAATGCCTGTCTTTTATCAATAATAGAAAATAATCTCTCGCTCCGACGATATCTTCCCAAAGTACATCGCTCTATCGTGATGGAATTGAGACTTAGTATAAGACTGTACATTCGGAGAAACAATGCTATCAGCCGAAAAGAAGAACTCGAGTAGTGACGGAATCCAGTTGTCTAAGGAATGAAGAATTACTCCAATAAAATGTGCAGTGGAAGGCAAACGCTAAAAAGAATTTCAAGAGTAAAAGGAGCGGCGTGGCAGGAGGAGGAGGAATTTCAACGATGACAAAACAGGGTTAAGACACCGAAAGGGGAAGTTCTAGCAATTTACAAAGAACACTACGATTTCAGAAGTAACGATAACAATGGGGTCAGGAACAACACCACAAAGATTCATTACGAAATACTACAATAATATACTGCTGTACTATATACCACAATAACGGTAATACTACAAGAAGTAAATATAATGAAAACTAGCAAAATACACAAGAAAAAACAAAGTTTACAAAAGTGAAGATACAATTAATTTTAACGAAGCTGATTTTCAGATTTCTATTATAAGATATCTTGTGATTTTATCGAAATTTAAGAAGCAGAGGTGCAAAAATAAGATGAAATTGAACTACATTACTCAAACGAACGTTGAAATCGTGAAACGTGCTAATATTTACGACGAGCTCAATCACGTTGATTCTTTGTCGTTCTCGCGTACGAATACAACTCGCCCCAATAAATTGACTGTATTGGCGTTTGTTCGCTCTCGGCCCATTTTCCATCGGTCGGAGTTGGTCCCTTTAAAAGCTCGAGTACGAACAGCCCGACGAAATAAGCGAACTCGACGACCACGATCAGGCTGAAACCGACGAAGATGCCGCAAATACCGCTAGCTTCACCTGCAAAACGTCGATCGAACGGTTAAATTACTTCCTCGACCACCTAGAACCGAATTAGGATACATTAAGAAGAGAGGACAGAAAAAAAGGAAGAATATTTTCAGAAGGAGGTAGAGGTTCTGAAGTATTTTGCATTATTATCATCCTCATTACATCATGTAATAAATAAAGTATCAAGGCATATGCAAATTTACATTTTTATAAAGCAAATAAAGAAACAAAGCCTGAGAGATTTGTTTCATCTATCAATGAATATTTTTTTGCACATTTTTATGTATTTTTACACTTTTAGGATTTCTATAAATGCAGAACTGTAAATAATTTAATAACAAAATTCTCAATCCTTCGATATATCTTGTTGAAGTGCAATTTATGAAACGCACAAACATGAAACGTTTATTTAAGTTCAGTTATGATTACACTTCATTCTTGAATAGACGGCTACACTGTTATATAGATCAATAAGATAATCATTTTTAATACTGTGTTAATTTTGGCGGTCGCCAACGTTTGCGTCAAATAATATTCAACGAATCGATTGATATATATAACACATATGTAGTATTGTGACATAATCATGTAAAAATCGATGAACTTGCAAGGAGTACGAATTACAGTGCAAATAGAAAGTGAAAGTGCTGGCGGGCCAGATGATATGGGAAATTCCCATAACACATTGGGCCCAGCGACATGTCCGTGGCCCTTCAGAAAAGTGGGTGCTTGAAAGTTTTTTTTTCTATTTATTATTATTTACAATCAATTCTCGCATTGAGAATTTTCAGTAATTTTTTCTGGCGTGGCGCAGTGACATGGCTAAATATTTATAATAAGTTAATACTTATTATAGATAAGTATAATAACGCTTGAAAGTCGAACGTGGCCATATTTGGTCGTACACGACTATAAAAACGTGTGTTGTGAGAGTACGAAAACAGTTAAAAAAGGTCGCTTTGGTGGGAAATGAGGTTGTTGTTGTTGTTGTTGTTGTTGGTTGATGTAAGCTGTAAGTTATGAGTTGTCGTTAGTCGTTAGGAGTTGATTAGTTGTATTGAGATATGTATCATTTTGTGTGCTACACTAGATTAGCCGCGTAGTAGTGACACACATGTACGAGTATGAGTCTGTGGAGTATGTGCATGCACAGCGTCTCGTATAACAGATGAATGCAACTGTTCCGTTGATAGTGTGGTATAGAAGGTGGTGAGACAAAGAGAGTGCTGAGACGCGTGCAAATGTGTATCGTCGAAGATCTTGTAAATCACATATTCAATAAATCTGCAACTATTTTGATATCAATTCTAAATGTAATCTAAGTGTTCGCATTAAAATCCACAATTCTCAATTAATATATTAAAAAGTAGTTTTAGTTAAATAATTACAGTTTTCTGTTCTATCATTGTAAATAAATATATAAAATAAAATCATTATACATATACTTACTGAAAAATCATAAGTCACGGAAAAGTCGTTTACACAAAAAAAAATTTCTAAAATAAATTGTTACCTAATATATATAGTATAAAGCAGAAATTGCTTTATAACTTGAAAACTAAAGTCGGGCTTTGGATTGTGAGATCGCCCCTATTTCCAATAATTAATTACCAAAGCTATTTCAATTTTAAGTATTTTTTAATCTGTAATATAGCTATAAACAAATGTAACCAATTCTCTATGTACTACTGCAATAAAATTCATATCTTCATTGATACAACTGAAGAAACGTAATAAGCAGAGATTTATTTCATACCCATAATATCATTCTTTGAGTGATTCGTATGTTTTTATGTTTTACACCTTTTGCCTTTCTGTAAATGCGTTAATATCTACAGTCGAGTAATAAAATTCTCAGTCCCTTTGTGTATATACGTTTAACACTGAATTTCCATTAAACTTTTAATACCGTTACTTTGTTACTTCGTTACACGTTACTTTGTGGAAAAGGTGTTTATATTTCCTTGTTACAGCTACGTAATATTATGTCACCATGCATCATGGGACAAAAAACGTTTCCTCTCCTATCCCGTTACGCAAAGGAAGAAAGCGAGTGAATTTTCCTAACGAAAAATGTATGTTCTTTATCCCGAGTGCATTATATTACTTGCAACCACGAGCGTATGTACATAGCACAATGGATCAACTCGTAGCTGTTTCCCTGTTTTTATTTCCTTCTTTCGAGTCACTGGCCAACAGATTACACCCCCGTAGAAACCTTGCGCTACGAACCTTTCGTTACACAATGAAATCGTCTGTATTTTGTGATCTTTGTTTTTTCGTTTCTCGAACTTTGCCCTGGAAGTTTCCAGTGATGCTAGTGTCGCTAATCGAAATCTCTTAACCTCGTTTTTTTTTTATCCTTGAATGTTTATTCTGCACCGAACATTTTAAGCTAAAAATTTAAATGCAAATGGAAAAGGAGAGATCTGCTGGAAATTTGATGAATTTGAAATGACCGATGTTCGAGCTTGGACAATACTCGAAACGATAAAAGATAAACGAAATAGAAATGTATATTATTAATCGTAAGAAAATATTAGCTCATTTCACTTAGAGAATTTATAGAGAAAGATTATATTGAAGAAAAATTATAGAGGTACAAGCGGAAAAAGGTGCGAATAAGTCGAAAATATAGAATACAATTTTTCATATGAAGCTTTGTTTCCAAGGAAATTCATTTTAAATATTCCCCTGGTAAGGAATTTTTTTGAATTATAAGGGACTTGTGAATTAATAATCTACGTTTATGTTTGTGTTTATTATGGTGGAGAATTAAAAACACCGAGTGATACGAAATATTCATGCACGATGAACTTTATTATTTTAGAAATTGTTAAATTTCTCGTTCTACTCTATACAATAACTGTAATAAATAATAAATACAAATTCATTATGATAAATCATTCTGAAATTAAGTTTCTATTATTGCATACAATTTATTATATCATTATATATTGGCGTAAAATTTATGGATTCATTCTCTGTTCTCCACAACAATATAACCAACACAAGTACCAGTAGAACTATTAATTCACAGCGAGACGCGCTAACTTTTATCAATAAAATATTTAATCTCCATTTTTTAAAATAAAGCTTCGTCAAATTAAAGTAAGGACAAATTTTATTCTACGTTTTCAAGTTATTTCCTCATCTAGAATCACTCTTTTCCTATTTGTTATAAAAATACTTTAATTTTAATATAGACTTCACTCACCCATAACTTCATACCAACGATAAATCACGTCTTGCTTCAATTTGATCGTACCAAAGTTGTTAAAATATATCGTCAGCAGTGATTGATTCTTGATTTCCACGTCAGTTCTTCGAATTTGAGATCATACCGTTTATTACAAGATGATAGAGCCATTAAATAGATATTTACTTACAAAACTTCGGCAACGTGTTGATTAGACTCCAAACCAGACATAGCCATCTTCGCATTATACTTCACATGGCTGCATTCAGGATAACAATTATGGCAGTACAATGTATTCGTTTTATCCATATTTTCATTGCTATTATATAGATTTTCATGTGGCACCACGGAAAACCACGTAGCTGTAATTTAAATACCAATCAACTTGTAGACTGTGTTTTATCCTTGTAATATAATCAAATACATATCATCGTTAGAATACACAGGGAATGATGAATTTCGTAGCGTTACAATTAATCATGGAAAGTTCATTAATTAATCAATTTCGTGTAGAGACCATGGCACAATGATAACTCGGCCGGACAATTCAACGCTGTTACATGATTGACGTCACGAGAATTTCGACGGTGCTTACATTTATGTTGCGACAAGCATGGCACATCTTCCAAATTGCAGACCCTTCTAGATTCTGAAAATACAGAAAACAAATATCAAAGGGAACTTTTTAATATTTTGAGCATTTAACTTTTTTAATATTATTATTAATACCAATAATTAAGTGCTACAATAACCTACGTAAAATAGCTTTAATTAAATATAACCAAAATGAGAAAATTTCTAATCCTCACAAAAACACTTGGGAGCAAATATTAAAATAAAAGTCGCTGAATACGCTAAATCGGAAATACAGCTATTGGTAGTGTGGAATTATTCAAGAAATACGATTAAAGACATTAAAAATTGCAAAATACAAAACTACACGCAACCCTGTTTGACGAAACTACTTTGAACAAAAATATAATAATATATTTATATAAATATAATAATAATAAATAAACATAATAATTAAATAATAATATAATACTAAAATACTATAGATAATAATATTAAAAAACGTTCTAATAATAAAAATATGAAAAATAAGTAGAATAAGAAGAATATTAATAATACTATTAAAAATACTAGAATGATTCGATCTGAATTATTCAAGAAACGCCGTGAATATCGTAGCGCGGAACCTAATGAAATGGTTTAAAACAAAGATAAGCTTAAAGTTCTCTCACGGTGTGATATTAGAACTACCTGAACTTTGGGAATGCACATTCTGGTTGGTGAAATTGTAACAACTTTGAACTATCTCGGGAAGACCTCGTTAACGAGTCGGAAAACAAATGGTGCGAGACTTTAATTGAAATTAAATTGAAGCAGCGAAGCATTTAGAATACTTTCTAGCTTGCTCCATTCGTTCCAAGAGTATTATTATTTTAATAAGCAACATGGCAACATTAAACGTTTCAAAGAACGAGAGCAACAATATGAAACTATTGTCGGATTTACGACAGAATTGTAGCAATCTTCTTTCGTTTCGTTTAATACCCCATTTCGTACGATCCGCTTTAATGCTTTAAGTCGTTGGGAAGCTCGCCGGTAAAAAAGGTTGCTCGGCAGATGGGCCGAGTCTCGTAGCTTCTAATCTCAGGAGAAAGGGCAGGGTGCTGTTAATGTCTTGCAAAGGCCTCAGCCAGTCTACGTCGTCGCGGTTCATTTCGACGCAGAGTGAAAGTGAAAATAGGAAATGGTGGAGGACCCTTTCAACGTTTCTCACGCCTCGCGGTGTCGACCTTGTCGCGCCTGTCTCTGCTTTTAAAACATTACGCGCTGAAATAACGGCGCTGCTGGGAAAGCACGATCCTGCGTTTGCCTTGCTTGTTTTCTCGGTTAAGGGATTAGAATTCTGGAACGCGCCAGTTTCACGGAATCTTGTGGGAAGAATTAGTAATAAGCATGTAACGACTCCTAAGTTTAATAAATTAGAGAAACCCTACTTTCATTAAATTAATATCCATAGTCCTATTTTGTGTATACATATATATATTCAAATGAAACTCTTTCTTTTTATAACATATTATTTTTATTTCTTACTTTCAGAGTATATCAAATTTTTGTAATCACATCTATAAATAAAATAGTATGCCAATATTTTTTATAACCACTGTATTACCAACCGGAAATTGAATCCGGGAATTGAAGAAATCTGCATGAATGAATAGTAGAGATTAATGATAATAAAAGATACAAATTTAAAAGTGAGCTAATTTAGCTATGTGAGATGGAAATACCTAGGACAATGACCTAATAACATTATGATATTTAACAAGAACTGCGTGGGTATTTTAATGTTTGTTTCCCTTACTAAGTACTTGAACAATACTCTAATTCAAGCTTTGTATTTCAAAGAAATTTTCTGAAAAAATTGTCACGGTTAGTTACATCGAGCTCTTATAGAAAATCGACGAAATTCTTATTTCTTATTCGAAAAAGAAACACTTGATTCTGTAATGAGAGTTTCTTTCTTATTTACTCAAATTGCCTTATAGGTACAACCCTTTTTTTTATCCACAATATCACGTTTATTTACTTACGAATCTTACCTCGATTAGGTAAAAAGAAAGGTATACATTTGCAGATTTTCCACATATCTTGCGTCTTGCAATCAACGATGCAGTCGCTGTAAGTGTAAAACATCCGAAGGGAAGTCATTTCATCCTCGAATACACAATCGCGTTTCTCCAGAGCATACGACATAATACTTCTTATGCTGTAAAACATGATTGCCTCTAGCTCTACGCTCCGGTGCACCCTGGGCGAGACTAGAAAGTCGATCACGCCTCCACTTGTCATGTCCGGATAATCGTACGGATTAAAGATCGTCACCTGATAGCGTAAAATTTGCCCATTAGCTTTTCAAAACAAAATAAAAATACCGCTATCTGTCCGTCATTCGTCGTAGAAAATGTCAACGTTTATGAATAATTATAAAATAATCGCGTCAAACCGACCAGCGACGAGTGAAATATTCACGTGGTATATTTACGTCGTAAGCGAATCGTTTCTAGCAAGAGAAGAAGGAAACTGCATTTGCATAATGCACTGAACCTCGGCTGTTGCGCGAGATAATCCTCACAAGCTACCACGATCCACATTTCTGGCGGCGTGATCACGACCGAGACTTGTTTCTGCCTAATTTCTGGTTGAATTTTCGCCAAATTATTTCGGAACTGACGAAACCTGTCTTCGATCCGTCGAAAATTGTCGACCAGCACGTGATATTAATTCAGAATTTCGTGGAAGATCGTTGTACGATCTGACGCAAAAGACCGATCAACAAGCAATTGACCATTATGATCACCGTCGATCTAGTTTGATAATATTTGACTTTAATAATCCATTAAATGTCGCGCACGAATACATCGACGATGATATTATTCGAAGCTTTTAGCTGAATGTTAAACAGCCTGTTTCGAAGAATATCTGAACGAGACGAGCAACACAAGGAAGAAACGCCACGTCCATAGAATTAAAAATTCCGTAAGCGTTCCGTGCAGGCGCTAGCTTCAACTCGGCTGATGAAAAATTACCTTCCAGCCGGCGCTCGGGAAAATAGGGTAGAAGTAATCGTCCAGAAACGGTTCCAGCAATACCGACAGCCCGCCGTTCTCGGTCAAATTTTGCACCTTCATCGATTCCACTCGGTGACTGACCTCGCGGTTCCTGCGAACATGATCGATGAAAATTCACAAAGACACAACGAAAAAATGGTGAATCGCGTGCACGAAATGCGGTTGTTACTCGCGAAATAATTTTCATGCAGCGAGAAAGAAATGGGAAGGAAATTGCACCAAGGTTAACACTAGAACTACCACACACCAGTCAAATTGAGTGGTTTTACAATTTTATTTTAAAATTCCTACTTCATGTTATATTTTTTCCCGCAATGATGTAACGACTTTCGGAACGATAACTAAAGGAATAATATAATGAATTTTATTTTGTTTTTATGCATTCAAACCCAAAATAATTTTCTATCAAGGCTACTTAAAACGACTGGCACTTGTCAGAGTGTAAAAGGGTCCTGCGATCTGTTTGTCGAACCTCAATTAACCAGTTTCTTCGATTTCTACAATTTGCCACACGTTTTTAAAATTTGTATTGCGTATCATTCAATATGATGATATCAGTTATCAGGAAAATTCCAGATCGATCGCTGGATCGCTAGATGTTAACATTAGAAATACCACAGCAGTCAAAACGACTGGTTCTACAATTTTATAAATGTGTTAACTCTCGTTTAGAGATCATGGTTCCAGATGGATTAATAATACCAAAAATGTACTACATAACATGGAATTCCTTCCGTAAGAAAGTAATAAATCAATAAATATAAAAATATTCTGTTATTACGTATTTTTTAAAGACATTGGTCTTTTCATTTTGACTGGTTTTGGTAAAAATAGCTTCGCGTTAACTATCGGTAGTTCTAGTGTGAAAACACATACGAGACATGAAACAGAAATTTACACGCGGATCTGTGCATGAACGCGGTCGAGAGTACTGAAAAATAAATTTCTCGCACGCGGTTTGCGACGCTGCGCTGTCCGAATAAATGATTCATTGACAGGACGCAAAGAGAATTTAGGTGGTCTGGAAACTCACAAATGCGTGTCGTCCCCTTTAGTCGCGTAATTGAAGGTACAACAGAAGCCGTCCTGCGTCTTGCGGAACGCGAACAGCTCTGAATAGTTCCGTTCCTCGTCATGAAACCGACACTTCGACAGCATGGAGGAACATTGTGGCGTCAACTGAAACGTTTGTCACGTAGACATTGGTTAACGGCAGACAGAAATTTCATCAAAGATGAAAGCTCTGTTACAGAATATTGCGAAAAATATTAGGTTGCCCAAAAAGTGTCTTTCTTTTACAGTCACGTCTTTTACAACGATGCATCTTTATACAAACATGAAACCTAATCTGTCGAACATTGTGACCTTTATTTTGATAGAACAAAATGGATCATATGTAATTCGATAAAATAATATAAAACGGAAAATATCGCGCATCCATTATTTCCTTATAAAACGAAAGAAACTTTTCGGACCACCTAATACAGTAGTTTACGTGCTGAAAGAATAGATGACACGAAATATTGGAATTTGAATAATGTTAAATCATTCGATAAGTTCGTGGATTACAGCGTGTTGGAAGAATAGATTTTTTTTTTTATTTGGTAGAATTTTTACGATCAATCCTCTCTGAGAATTATAAGTAAATTAGAAAGAATAGATATTTGAATTTATATGATATTAGATTATTCGATAGATTCGTGGCGCGATACGTTTATAGTTTTTATCGCGTGTTTCATGAATACAGAACGATAAACAACAAAAATACCGATCTCAACAAAATCACGTTCGATCAGGAAAAGGCACATGAGATGAAAAAGCTAGTGAATAGCAAACACTCTGATTTTAGCTCACTCGTTTCATTATGTCGGTGATGCTGTAATAGCCATTGTAAAACACAGTGAGAAGTTGGTCGATTCGATAGAGCCGGTTTTGCGGCTTGAACTCCGAGTCGTAAAGATCGCCCAGTTGCGAAATCATGTTGAGAATCTCGTCGACGGGTAAATCAGAGATATTCGCCGCGAAGCTGAATGTTAATTAAATGGAACTTTGAACAAAATTACAAGGAACACTGGTTTTGATAAAAAGTTTATGTAAAACTCTTGTAAAATATGGAGCACGGGGAAAGAAGATGTAGATGCAATTTTTGAAATTGATCAGACAAATTTCCATGGATACGGTTGGTCAATTGCGCGAGGTGAATGAGTAAACGATGTAATATAATAAAACGTATTCGTTAGAAGGCAGTCGGCGATCGATGTTCTCCGAAACGTTTCGGTGAAAAATTAAATTAAAAATTCTGTCTCATGAAAATTAACAGCTCGACGTTACATACGCGGACAAGCGGCCAAAGTATCCATGGAAATTAGTCGCAAATTTACATCAGATAGAATTACACGGATCGGGTTAAATATTTATCCTCGTCGTTATAAATCATGATTAAGTGAAACAACGTTAGTTGCGATTTCAGTATTAATTAGTCGTTCATCTCTCTCGTGCTCTAGAGAAGGAGAAATACGACGCTATACGTTGCATATTAATGGGAATTTTTTTCAAAGTAAATTTAAAATAATTCTCGCTAACCGAATATTAATGGCCAGTTTTTGCAAATTCGAAGCTAATTAGGGACACGTTTTTGCGTTCCCTTTTAATGAACGTTTCCTTCCATCAACGCGAGCAACTTTCTAAATACACCGGCGCGGCGCGATATTATCGCGATGATCCGAAAACTGCGGAATAATGTTACGTGTTTGCAAAAATATATCACCGGTACCCTTTGTATTTAAATTATAGATCTAGAAATATTGGAACGAAGCATAAGTTTACATTACAGAGAGAAAAATTTGAAATCTAATTCAGACAGAAGTGAATCATGACATCCATATTTTGTACTGTCAATTATGAAAATAATTAATCCGACAGATTAATATATAAACTGATGAATAAAAATATTGATAGCGATCAGATTATCCTTGTAAAATCCTGCATAAATCTTTGTCTAAATTGTTCTGTAAAACATTATATTATTTTTGAAACTGAAATTTAAATATAGCATAATTCAATATCGCTAAGCAGCTGAAAAATAAAAGTAAATAATAAAAAGTAGATACTAGACTGTTTCTATTGGAACATAAGATCGCAATGAATGCGAAATCGATACAAGAATCAAATCTAGGAAACGATACAGACTTAAGAAATTAATTTAGGCGCGATAGAAAAACCAGTGTGGAATTTTTATAGCAGTTACTTGGAATAAAGATTTTATATGACACATTTAATAACCGAAATCGATAACCTAATTGTTTTTAATCCTTGAAACTTATGTTTGGATAAAGAATGAGATTTTTTTCAAATTTGTAGAGAATTTGATAAGGATATCTAGTCTGTACCATTCGCTATTTATTACAATCTACATATAAATTTACATATAAAAAAGGAATATTAATATGCTGTTGATAATGTATTGTTCAAAATAATAAATACATTGCATCATATTTCTCTGACAGTGCTTATAGGTCATGCTTAAACAAGCAGTTGACAAATATCCATTCTCAATATTTCATGATGAATAATAAATATGCAGAACTGGGCATGTTACGAATTGCTCTGCACGACAATATGCTACATATTGTACGTACATCCCTGTATTTTTATATATGTAGTTCTATTATATAAGCATCTGGTGCTACTTTAAACGTTATACCCTACAGAAATATTTTCTCTGTTTTCGTTTTACAACAAAGTTACAAATTCGAAAGTTGAAACTTGATTTTGGCTATTATACAGTCAAACTCCTAACGTTTGCTCATAAGTTTCCTCATAACGCTGATGCTGAAACTCCTCGGTGAATTTTCCTCGTTTGGAACGAATACGTAACAGCGGCTTTGTACGAAATAGAATTTTCGGGAATGCAGGAAAATAGCGGTGGAATTCGTTTATGAACGAAAGGCAATTCTAAACGCGAAGCCGCAGCTTCGGCCGCAATTGAAATTATTCGTGCAGCGCCATTCGGTGCTACGGGGTGTCCAATGAACCTAACCGCCCTGCGCTCGATTGCATTCTACTTCCTCCGCGGCTGCGTTTCACCCCTTCGTCAATGACACTTGTGTTTATTTAATGCTAGACGGTGCTCACATTTCGTTTGCCAACTCCATCGCCGATCGACGACTTATTCGATTGATGCTGCAGATCGCTATGCCTTAAAAAAAAACAATTTGTATGAAATCGTTCTCGAAAAATCGAGATTGAAAATTCCTTGCTTTATGATTTCTTTAATAACATATGTATGTATAATAATCCATGCTTATTATACATACATATATATGTATACACACAATAAGAGAAATTATAAATAAGGACCAAGTAATGAAAAAGGATACATAAAAATGTGACTAAATCAAACGCAAACAAAAATTTGCATGATTTCAGGAAAAGAAATTAGTTTAACAAAAATAGAATTCATCGACAGAATAAATAGAACTACAGAATAAACTGACTAATAAAATATTGACACGACAATGGACTTTAGTAGAGTTAAATAAAGAGAAAATGCTCTTGCAGTAAGAATAAAGGTTCCAAACAATTTCAGCCAGATAGTAACTTTGGAAAGCTTTCAGGCATTTTAGCTGGACGTTCATTTTACTTCTGAAGAAACTGCAGCAATTTTCGAAGTAGTTGGAATAAACGATCTTTCGATATTGAAGTATCCAGCTCGTCTCGTAAAAAATTACTCGGTCCTATTTTTAGACAATAGCACAGCTAGATATACAAAAGCATGTTTAATTTACCTGGGAAATTTAATTTGTATGTGGGAAAGTATTCCGTTTCAACGCTAGTGAACAGTGGATTCTCCATAAATTCGAGATACCCGTAATAAATCGTGCAAACCATAGCAGGCACCGTGACCGCGTATACCAGGAACCATAGCGTTCTGAAAATATCGTCCCGGAAAATTCGATCGGATGAATTTTTCCGCGTGCAACCGCGCGAATTTCAGTTAACAAGTTTTCTCTCCACCCCGTCGTAAATTCTAAATATTTACATCGTGGAATAGGCTTTCGTCGAACGTTACGATGCGGCAGTACACAGGCTGTTTCAAAAAATGTAGCATGCGGCATGTAGTACTCATTACATGAAACAGATATGTTTGAACAAATATGGCTCTAAAGATTTGTCAATCCTGAATTATTAGAACGGAATCACCGATGATAGCAGTAGTTTAGTTTAAAGTTTAATTTAGGTTAACACGAAGTCTATTTTAAGATTGAACGAATTAATCTAGTAATAGAATAAAGTAGTGCAATAAGGTATTCCAAATGACAATCTAAGACAATAGATAGCTAACAACAAATAGATAGAAACAACTAATTAACATTTTGACTGCCACGTCAAAATCACATGTTTCGCCCAGGACGCCACGGGAGTATTTTTATTATTCAAATAATATTAAATTGACGATGTAAGACAACATTCTTCCCCAATGGACCGTTTATCTTATTGATGGCCACGGGTGATCACCGTGGCGCCTTGGTAACAATTGATAGTAACAGTTGATAGCGACATATTATAACAAGGCTTCGTTTATTTCAACAAACCATTCGCATTTGTTATTTCGTCGCAAGCAAAACGTCCAGAATATACTGTTGAAACGTGTAGAAGATATTAGTAAACAGTATTTGCTCATTCTATATATAATAGTAAGATGAAGAGACAAGCGTGACATTGTTATGATTTCGACGAAACATTCGGCTGAAATGGTACAGATCCGCAAAAAAATGATGTTTGTGATAAACCAATGGTAGTGGTAGATCACAACAGAGGAAAAGGTGCTGTAGATTTATCGGATCAAATGATAGCATATTCTACACCACAGAAGAACCCTCAAGTGGTATATAAAATTAGCTTTAGAGTTATTGCTAAATACATCAATTTCAAACGCGATGATACTCTATAAACAAGCAATAAACACAAAAATCAAGGTAACAGATTTTAGAATGACACTCGCAATGCAGCTTACACAGTGCCATTCACCAGAGCCGTCAAATATACTTGTTCGACAAAGATTGCGACACGAAATGCAGAAGAAAGAAGGGCAAGCGTACCTGGCACGAAAATTTTGCAGAGAGTGCTATAAAAAAATGTTAAACAGTTAAATTGGACAGTTAAATCGGACCAAAAAGGTGACCACCTATTGTGCAGATTGTATTAATGTTTAAGGTGTTTTAACACAGTGCACCGTTAGATGCAAGATTTGTTCTCTTTTTTTTTTATTGATGTTCTAATAAAAATGTTTAATTGTTCAATGGGACACTTTTTATTTCAAAATATCTTCTATTTATCAGTTATATTGAGTGCAATAGAATAAAGTGGAAAAGAGGGGAGGTAGACATATAAGAAGAAAAATGGACATAAGAGATGTAAAATCGAAAGTTTGTCCAAAGCCGAAAGGCACGGACTAAGCAATAATAAATAAATAAATAAATATCAGTTATATTCAAAATGCCCTAACTGTCAATTTTCATTCAATTTTTACAATTGCAAGAAGTTCAAGCGCTCCGGTCACCAATGACCACCGTGGCCGGTCATATATGACCAACGTGGCAGTCAAAGTGCTAAACAATTTAACAATACTAAACGAGAGTTAAGATTTTTGCTTATTTTCATTAGTGCTACATTCTATACTGTACCCGCAACCTTTGGAAACAGCTGTATACAGTATCTGTATAAGCGTCGAAATTGTTTCATCGTCAACACGGTTTATTTGAAATTCGTTGCGTTTCGCGTGGAAATCCATCGGTGCGTGCACCTGCGTCTAAATTACCTGTCGAACCACGTTGCTTCCGAATCCACGAAGTACCTGAATCCAGCCAACTTCGTGTACTTGCAGTACAGCTTAGAGTATTTCATCAGCGTTCGCGTGAAACGAGATCTGGACCGAGTCGTACGCGTCTCTAACAGCCAATCGAGTGGAACCTCGAATTCCTTCTTATATTTAGGTTTACCCTCGTACCAAACTTTCATTTTGCTCTCGTCGTTACAGTCAATTCTGGAAAAACTTCCTGATCACGGATAACACTGTGCTCGTCGTATTTTTAATATCGCGTCGGCCATCGTGGATTTATAAACGAAAACACGGCCAAGTGAAATTACGGATTCCAATGAACGCAATAATTCGAAACGCGCGAGTCGCTCTCCGTAATAATAATAACGTTTAACGAAAAATGAAATTTAACGAAATCCCATGAAAAGAGAGGCGAATAACCGTGTACGAAAGGATCTGAAATAAAACGTATAAAGAGGTGTGGAATATGGAAATCCAAATTTCGTAATCAAGAGAAAAATGTTGAAACTCGAAATCACGTTATGTTCGATACAATTATACGTCTAGCCATTCGCTTTCGGTATTTGCATGGCGACTGTAGTTCGCGAACGTAAATTACTCGTCCCATCCTTCTCCTCTGTTTTCTGTCACGCGTATCGTTCTTCCGATACAAGTACGCAAGCAAAGCCGCGTATCTCTGGCATCGTTTCACCACCGATGGTCATCGCTTGTTTCACGCACATCCACGATAGAATCATCCGTATGCTCGTGGAATTTGTTACAACTTTTGGACCTGCCTTTGTAATGAAATTTTTAAATGCAAGTATATAGCAGGGAATTGAAATAAATATTACGCTGTCGTAAATAAAAGTACAGATTTATTATGAAAATAAGGAAGAACCTGAGCACTATTCTTGAATTTATATCGGTAGAAAAGCTATCTATAAATTTAATTATCTTCATGTTCCATCGTTTAAATACTTTCATTTTTTTTTTTTTTTTTGTAATAAAAAATATTTAATCTCACGTTTCTAGTTTCACGATCAGCCATCGATCGTTTGATTAAAAAGGACGACACGAAACTGATCGATGAGCGATAGTTGAATAAAAAGGAGAAGAAGAGGGGGAAACGAAGTTTCGTCCAAGTTTCCCGAGCGTTCGCGAGTCACTGATTTCGCAAACGTCTCTTCTATTAATGTCCTTAACTTTCACGAGAAAGTTGGAGCTGGTTGGAAATCGAAGAGACAGATTTTCGGCTATCCGTGTCTTATCAAATGATCCGTAGCCGAGGGTGTAACAGCCATCATCAATTTACCGCAGCGATCATCATCGTGACAACCGAATCGCGATACTGCCTGAATTAAATAGAACTCGAACGATGATTGATCGGTTAAGTTGTTTGCGGGTGAAATATTAATCAAAATTTCGATCCCATGAAGGATTTTTTGAATTGATAGTCGTAAATGGTTTGAATGGCTTAAGGGTTATTAGAAAGCTGACGTTTATATTTATCCAGAACTATTAATCTTATAAATATTATTAGGGCAGTAACATATTTGAAAAAGTGTGAATTATGAGATATTTACAAAAATTAAATCTAAAAATAAATATCATAATTACTAAGAAAATTATACTATTTAGATAACAGCAATGACATAATTTAAAGTAAACCTGTTTGAATAATTATATTGAATAATTACAATAATAATAATAACAATAATAAATAATAAAATAATAAAGTAATTTAAACAATAGTAGTTTAATATATAGAAATGATATTGTAATAAATTTATGTTTAAAATTTCACATAAATTGAGGATTGAAATATAGAAAAAAACGAATAGCGAAGAATAGCGAAGTCATAATTTCGAAATCGTCGCGCTCTCTTTGGAACGGAAACGGAGTAACGGAGTGTCGCGATTGCAAATTGAATATTAATGACCACTTTATGGATTCCGATCGGGTGGAGCTAAAGCCGAATTAAATATTAATGAGCCCCTTTCACAGGAAGAATTAATTATAACATTCGCGTGAAATCTGAACGAATCACGCGTATTATGAATTTCAAATATTCGACTTCAAAGAATTTGCTAGTTCCTCTTTTATCTATGTGAACTATAAAAAGTCAATCGATTGAACACATGCATTCATTCAAAACGACGTTATTTTCCTATCAAGTTTAGTTGTTATGTATATAATCTTACATAACAAATCCTGATATGATATATTCAAAATCTTGAACATTTTTTTTTTTTATTTAATTCTTTACATTCACAATTTGTCCAGTTTGGACATTTGGTAGAATTTTTTAGCTGTTTGATTACCATGTGGATGGCTACCCCCAGTGGGATACCATCTTCGTGTCAAATCTTGAACATAAACGATGAAAGACGATATTGATTAGTCGAACATGGATTAAATGAGAATAATTCTATTTACTCAATATTACTATTTATAATTTTAGCAAGTATGTAATTCAAAATAGAAGATTCACAAAAAAAAAATCTGCACTGTATGTAGTCTGCGACAAAAGATTAATAAGGAAGATACACTGCAGACAAATAGCAAAAATCTTGCATCAGCCACACCGGAAGTTGCTGTGCAACGTTTCATTAAATCACGATATACCGCGATGTATCGTTGCACGAGCCTCACATTTTCTCGAACATTATGTCATTCTTTTCGCACTGTCTACCTTCTGTGTGATTTGCGGCCGGCTTGATTTGCGGTTTCTCCTAAATTTAACCACCCTTCCTCTCATATTAATTTCTCTCATCTACCAAAATCATATTTCTCCGCATGCGAGACTATCGTGATAATTTCGTTGCTACGAAACGGTCAAATGTTTCTAATGAAAGCTAATTGCGTTCCCGAGTATTGAATTTTGGATTTAGTTCCTTCAGATGCAACATTTGAATAAATCTGTTAGAGTTTATTTAATTTATAAAGTTTGTGAATTTATGAGTTTAGAGGTTTTACGTTCTACGTTCTAGTTATCTACGTTCAGATAATATTCAATTTTCTTCGTATAAATAATTGTTTATCTCAGATAGTAAATAATTCTAATTAAATAATATATGATTAATATAATAATGATTTAATACATTTTAAATATTATATATTTTCGTGCATCTTTATAACTGCGATATCTTTGTAATTTTCATTTCTGCCATGTCTCTATAATATATTACTCTGTCATAAATCTAATAGTTAGAGTTTATGCCAATGATAGAGCCTTGTGGAAATTTTTACGAAATTGACCAAATTGTTGTCTAGCTTCATAATACACTGCTCGTCAAAAAGATAACCCAGGTGTGCTATCTTTAATTTCTCAATGACGCGTGTAAAGTTTTTCGTCTGTAACGTGTAATATCAAAACATTACGAGCTCAGAATGTGCGGCTTGCTGGAAATAAGTCACAATGTCGCAGATGTTTGTATACAACAAAGAAAAACTGTTCCGTACTAAGGTCGAAATGATAACACACTCTGTTAATATGTTGAGAAATTGCTCAGTAAGTTCATGATCTATCAACGAGTAAGGATTACAGTACAATATTATATAAATTTGTGAATATGGGACGCGTAAAAGAATTAAACGAGTTTGCAAAAAGCAAATTCTGGAACTAAAAGCGGAAAAAGATTAAACGATTCTGAAAAAAGCAAATTCTTGAACTAAAACAGCAACGGTTATCGGTAATAATAAGAGGTCGTAAAGTAATACACAATTTCTTAAAAAATGTTGAAGATTATGGCAAAAAGAAAAGTACTGGTCGGCTGTCATCGTTATCCGATTGTGATAAGCGAGCAATTTTGCGTGTAGCTTCCAACTCGCAGTTAACAACGAAGCAAATAATGGAAAAATCTAGTGTTAGTGCCAGTGTTTCAAGTGTTCGTCGAGTTCTACCATCCTGCAAAAATATCAAGAGGCTAAATTTTTTTTTTTTTTTTATTTATTTGTTGAAATTACAATCAATTCTCGCGTTGAGAATTTTCAGTAATTTTTTTGGCGTGGCGCAGTGACATGGCTGTTTATTTACAATAAGTTAATACTTATTATAGATAGGTATAATTTCTAAGTATTATAAGTAAGTGCATATGCTTAATTTGGATAATTAAATGAATCTAACGTTTAGGTCTAGCGGGTAGTACCTCTTCAGAAGAGGCTAAAATTGAAAAAGAAACGAAACACAAAGTAGAACGTTTACGCTTTGCAAAAGAAAGACCGCATTGGAAAAAGAAATGGAGAAGGGTATTATTTTCAAATGAAAAAGATTCAACTTGGATGGTCCTGATGGGTTCCAATATTATTTTCATGACACAAAAAAAGAGACAATGTCAGCAATTCAACGACAAATGGGAGGAGGCAGCGTGATGGTTTGGGCCGGCATCGGTTATTTCGGCAAGACAAGTATCAAGTTCATCAATGGGAGAGTGAATAGTGTCCGATACATGAATTTAATCAAAGAACAAATAAATAATCATGCAGAACGCATTTCTAGACCTGATTACATCTTTCAACAAGATAATGCACCTGTACACACGTCAAGATTGGTCCAATCATACTTTAATGAAAATAATATATCTATTTTGCCGTGGCCTGCACGCTCTGCGGACCTTAATATTATTGAAAATTGCTGGGCAGAACTTGTTCACGGCGTATACGCGAATGGAAAGCAGTATCAACACGTACAACAATTAAAAAGTGCAATTGTACGCGAATGGGACACGTTAAGTCAAAATTACATCCAGAAACTATATAAATCGATACCAAATCGTACAATACAAGTAAAAGAAAATAAAGGGGGATGTACCCATTATTAAATAAGTATATATGTTTGATAAGTAATTATTGTTAGTTACAATTTATGTCGGTTATTATCTTCTTATTGTACATGTGTTATCATTTCGTTCTTAAAATAAAACAAATTTTTTTGTTACACACTAAACATCATAATACTTTTAATTATTTTCAACGAACCGCATATTCTGAGCTCATAATGTTTTGATATTATACGTTACAGACGAAAAACTTTACACGCGTCATTGAGAAAATAAAAATAGCACACCTGGGTTATCTTTTTGACGAGGAGTGTAGGATGCTTTTGTTCCTATGATTTTAAAAACTCATAGAGCTGAACACAGTTTCAAATAAACATACAGAGAATTCAAACAGTAGAGTATGAGGATCAGTATCAAAA